TTTAAAATTTTAAGAACATTATATTGTATCATTCATGTTGCCCCTACCTAAAGGGTACGGCTGCAGTTATGGTAACATGCCCACTGTAATTTGGTTTTAAATTCACCAAAATCAAGAATAACAATATGGATTTCGGAATTCATAGTGTACATACAAAGCACAACCCAGGATGCATGGGTCGCCATCTTCCGAGAAAACCAGCAGTCACTGAATCCAAGAAATGAATTCTTTCTTCTTCAGAGATGTGAACAAAACGGTGTAATAATGAGAGGTTTTCTCATTAGACTACTCCCACCATCATTCCCACGCCGACTTAGAAAAGCAAGAGGTGGGAAATCCTCGACTTTCAATGATAATTCTTCTGGTCAAATGATCCGACAATAAAAATCAAAGTTCCCTGTTAAGATGAAAAAAATTGACAGCATTATAAAACAATCCAATTCGGACTGCAAAAAGAAAGAAATTAAAGAAATCACTTGCTACCAAATACTGTTATGGCATCCAGCTGAAAATTCGACTTCAGTGTCACATAAACAATTTTATCAGGGTTCATGGTTGGGACATGAGGCACCAGAAAATTGAGAAGGAGAAGATCCGCCAGGAGCGGGTGATGTCAGGAGTTTAAGTCAAGTTGGGGAAAGGTAAGGGTGAGGCAGACAGAGGGAAATTTCAACACAGCCCATCAGAGTTGACATCGAATCACCATCCCACCCATGCTCAGCGAATGGCAATTGGAACATTGTAGGGATGTAGGGTCCTTTTAGGCCTAGTGCAGCTTGGAAGATCTTGGAAAGTATAAACTATCCCATAAAAATGCATTACAAAAGAAGCCAATTACCTTTTAAGGTGGCGTGAGGTGAAGAACATTGACCAGAGCCACCATGAAACCTTTGCTCAACAAATACGCCACCTGACTGACCACCTTCACTTAGCTGTGATGTTTCATTCATGCCAGAGAAACTCACTTGTCCAGGGGAACCAAACTCAAGCTGTTCCGCAGGGGAACCATAACCAGGGGTATGATCATAAGGATACAGCATGACAAAAAATGGAATGTTGGGACCATTAGATGACACCCCACTTGGATTCAGGGTTGCTACTGGATGCCTGCCATACGCTACATTAGCAGAACCACTGTGTGTTGAGTTTAAGCGTACTGGACCATTTTGAGACTGGTATGAAGGAAATGAGTAATTTCTATGTGAGCCCCAAGGCCTGTCAGTTCGGCTCTCGGCAGCTGCCAACCGGTCAGACCTCGATGTTGGTTTATCAGCCAGTTGATGCCTAAGAACATGCAAAGAAACTGGTTGAGCTCCTGTATTTCTTTCAGCCATCCCAGTGCCCATTGTCGATGGCAGATTCCAGTTTCTGCTATCATCATCTCTCTGAGAAGAGTGCTCAGATAAACCCTTACCTTTCCCATATTCTAGAGGAACAATGAGTGATCCAATCATCACACCAGCTTGAGATCCAAGCCCAGAGGAAACATCATTTCTTTTTCCACTTGAGTTGTTCCTAACATTTTCAGATCCATGTTGGTTATCTGGCTTTGAGGACCTCAAGCCCCATAAATCATTCCTTGGGTCATCTGGGCGATTCCCACCTCCATGCCAGTCCCACGTGTTCTTAAAGAATTTATTTACTTCAGAAAATAGGTCCTCTTTGGGACAATGAAGCAATGTTGCCAATCTTTCAGCTCCAAGTGCAAAGGCTCTTCGTATCCTACAGAAGTTTCCTGGAGAAAGTGCATTCCGTATGCATCAGAAAATAACCATAATCAAGTTTGCATAGACGAAATATAATCATCATTGACAATTCAAACATAATAGAAAATCATGTCAAGGTATCAAAACCATACCAAAACACTAGCAATTTATGGAAAGACAGTTGTGTACAACAGAACTTAACAATACATTTTCCCACAATGTTGACAAGCTTAGGCAACTAGTAGTTAACAAATGCGCAAAAATGTAGAAGAAGAGTAAACTGTCATCATCTCCATTCTTGAATAACGGTCTACAGACCTTGTTTTCACAAGTTTGAATCTCATAATATCAATTTTATATAAGAAACAATAATATCAACTTTTTGTTTATGTGAATCTCCAAAATTCAGGTTAATTTTAATTTTTAAATCCATCATAATAACTGCCATGCACATGCACTGCTACAAAAACTAGGATTAAAACATGTTAAGAGAATGTTAAGACATTGAAAACAAGAATATAACTTATCAAACATACAATAACCATTAGAGTTATAAATTTAAGTACCTTTACTCACACTACGGCCAAGGTTGCTATTCATGCAGGAAGGGTCAATCACATTAAAACATTTAGAAACAAAGGGTTGCCCCTGATTTTCTTGGCCACCTAGGGAAGCATAATAGACAGAGCAACATGCATCAAGAAATAAGTTGCTAAATAGCAACTCTCCACCACCTTTTAGAGGAGGTTCCGCTGCAAATATATAACAGAAATTAGTTCCTAGCAAATGAGGAAACAATGAGAAATTGTAGGGCCAGCTAGATTTTTAACCAATCCTACACACCTCTTACATCAGGCAGTGACCTAATTGGTACAGGACCCCAGAGGCTAACACAAAAATTGTCCCAATCGAACTTACTGTAGAACTCCAGAAAACGATAGAGGACCTAGCAACCAAGGAAAACAACTTTCAGAGCCATGTACAGAAAAAACAGACATTGAGACAAAGAAGTAGAGATAGAAATGAAAATAAATAAATAAATAAACACCTCAAGTGGTCCAGCAAAGGAATTATTGAAAACAATGAATATGTAAAGAACCAAGGTTTCCAGGGCGAAAGTTGAGATAAGTCCATAACGAGCACCCAGTATGCGGCTCTCATAATAACACCAGGCCTTGACTAATATGATGCTACGCTTGAACAAGTGATTTTGATTTATGAAATGATCAACCTACAGGTATAAAAAGTTAGCATATGATGTAAAATGTAATCATAGTCTACCATTCATGGAGAAAGATACAGTGCAAGCTTCTAAAAGATGCAGTACAAACCACATAAAGGAACCAAAGGGTACTCAACCCATCAAGCTGATTAAACGATATGTCTACCACAATATTTTCCACAACACACTTTATGATCTTCACCTGAAAATATAGAAAAGGAACAAACAAGGATAAAAATTATTAATATAGAAAATATATATTTACTATAAATTTTTATGCGAGCATCATCCAGAGATAGTATACAATTTAGTAAACAACAATTAGTCTGCCAAAACAGGGTTTTCCTTCTGGCCAATGGCTGAATAGTAAAAGAAATTGATTGAAAAATTTCCCTTGATAATGGTGAGATATATCATACAGTGGTGGTCTAAAATTACTTCAAATATGCAACTCATCAGTCATTTTTTATTGTTAAAGCAGGCAAGGCATGAAGGTGATGCTGAAAAGACAAATCAAGCATTTTGGAAATATACTTAGCAAAAATATCCATCTCATGTGCAGGTGATCTAATTAGAGAGATGAACAAAGGCCAAACATTGTGAATAGCGTCTTCAATGCAAATTTCAAAAACTGAAATTTTAACAGAACTGAAGAATGCAAATTTCAAAAATGGTAATCGTAAGGAAATCAAAGCCTTATTCAAAATTGATTGTACTTACTGCTGCTGGAATGTACTGAACGTCCGTTACTCGGAATTTGGCATTCTCGTTCTTTTTTTCATTTTCCAGCATATTAAGAACCTTAGAAGCCCATGTCTTCTTCAAGTTTTGATCCTTAGAGAAGACTGTTAAGTCTATATCTCCATCAGGAAGGTAAGTCTTGAGGGGTACAGAACCATAAGGAAAAACCTGTGGATAAAATAAACATGAAAAGGTTTATTTGTGATATAAACTAAGAAGAGAGAAAAAGAAACTGCTCAATAAACTAAATAACCCTCGTCTAGCCCAGTTGAAAGGCTATTTATTTCAACATTTAATGACATAAAAGTAAAAACCACACGCTTTGAACTTGGAAAAATTCAGCTCACCGCATACCAAAAATCTTTGTTGATTATCACACAATTATTCAAATATTGCACTTACATAAACCATGAAAACCTCAAACTTTCAAGGAAAGGCAAAATATTTAGCATGTCAAGAGAACAAACCTCTATCTCGCAGGAGAAGCACTTCTTGATGAGGCGCCGGAGATAATCAACCACATCATTTCTCCGCTTTTCGGAAAGACGATTAGGCTCGATGCAGGCGATGAGCTCCGCAGTTCTCTCTTCTGCCTTCCGCAATCGCTCTGGGTCCAGCAGCCGGCTCACCCAGGCGGCTTCTTCATTGGGCAACAAACCATTTGGCAATAGCCCACTAGGTGTCTGCGCCCACCCCCCATGCTCGCCCATGCAATCCTCCCTTTCTCTGATTACACCCTCAATCTACGAAACCCAGGAAACAGAAACCCTAGCCGAATCAAAATTCAAAGGAAAAAATAAAAGAAAAAAAGAAAAAAAGAAGAAAAAAAACTAAAGGAGCCGAGGAAGTGAGAAAATGTGCGGGGACGGGAGAGAATCAGAACCAGATGGAAGCCGCAGAACACTGAACAGGGGAGAGACATTGGATGTGCAAAGTAAATTATTATGACATAAAAGTCTTCTTAGAAGCAGATTTTTTCTGCGATTAAGCAGATTAAGATATTGTAAATTAAAAGAACATTCCGGAAAATACTAGGGGATCTCTATTCTCTAAGCAAAATGACTTTGACAAAACATGCATATTATCCTCGACTTTTTGCTCATGTACAGTAGATTAAAATATTGTAAACTAAAAGAATACTCTGGAAAATGCTAAGAGAAATCTAACAAAAAGATTTTGGCAAAACATGTATTGTACCTCTCTCAGCTAGTCAATTCACACGCAAACAAACATTCATATGTAAAAACTCAATTGGAATACTACTACTTCTTGTCCTTTATTAATTGGTACCTTGGTTAAGATTTGTAAACATTCAAAAGTTTAAACTTAAATTATTAATAATAATTTGTATCTATATTAATATATCACTCATATTCATATTTTCATTTTGGTATGAAATTTGGTCTTGACTGTTATAAAAAATTAAAGTTTCAATTTCAAAAATATTACCTTTTAATAAATATTTTTAAAAATTAATTAAAAAATTTAATATTTTATTGATATAAATTACGTACATTAATTTAAAAATTGATTTATCATCTATAATTATTTGATGAAAAAATTTATATATTTTAATATATGTTTAATAATGATAAATTTTTTATAATCAATAAACTAACTATATCTCTGGTGCCAGTATCTTAAAGAGCAACGAGGATAGACAATCCCACTGTTGACTAATCCAACAGTAGAACAGGAAGCTCTGGCAACTTGGTCGTTGTCTTGTTTTAATAGTTGTAGTCCTAATGCTCTTGCTGCAGCTAATTTTTATGGCATCCTCAGATGCACTGCTTCCTCTAATGTTGTTGTACATCACGTTGCTTAATTATTTGAACGGCTGAGTGCTGCAAATTAATCAAATCATCAGATGTTGAATTAATCAAGGGTAGTTAGTAATTGTTGGATGTTGGATCCACCACTTCCAAATCATTTTACCTGTTCTGAGCATGGTTTCTCTTGGTCACAATTGTATTGGTTGATGATTATAGGATTGCTCATATTGTGCATTACCATATTTTGGAATATTATGTTTTTAGCATACCCTGATCCTCCCTACATCAAATATGAATGTCAAGATATAATTATCAAAAGTTTGAAACCCTACCTCAAATCACATCGTTTAGGCAAGTAAGAGAAGAGCATAATATGAGAGGATTAACTTCTATTTCACAAAAAAATAAATATGAAATCCAAGGTTCTTGTTTTGAAAGATCATTTGTCCCAAATTTTGGGTAAATGGAATTTGGTACGAGTCAACAAACAAGTAGAAATTTGTCATGTTTTTGGTGTGCTCTAAAAAATAATCATTGCTATTGTTGCCTCCAAGATCAATTTCAGTGTGGATTCTACTTTGTACTTTGCAAACATCCTTTTTCAATTTTTTTATTGGTTTTTGTGCCTCTAATCTTTTTTTTTTTTTTTTTTTTTTTTTTACTTTTGTGCCTCTAGTGTTAAAATCTCAAGTCGAGTTATATCAATTCAAGAGGCGGTTTTCAAGAAAAAATATTCTAAGATATGTGTACAGAAAACAGGGCTTTAAGTTTCTGGAACAGAGCTTTGATGGTATTCTTTGAATTGGAATTTTAGGTGTCAAAATAAAATAGAAAAAACGTGACGGAGAAAAGTTACTTTTGAAATTTGAAAGAAAACTCTCATCCAGTGGATGGGTCTTAATCTTATCTCATGAACAAATGGAGTGGAAAGAAAAATGAGACAATATACATTATTACTAAAAAATTAGTGTTTGATAATTATCTAAAAAAAAAATCAAGGTGATTGATAATGACAAAAAAAAAATTTGTAAGATTTGAACCTAAGGAAGTATATGATAAAATAACAAATTTTTATTATTATTTTATTACTTCTTTTTATAATAATTTCCACTTACTAAAGAAATTTGATTTCTCACCAAATCACTTTTTACACTTGCTAATATCAGGGCTTGTTTGCTACTCAAAAATAAAATGTTAGGGATTGTTTGATGCCCCCACACTTTAGAAGATGAATTTAGGGGAGTTTAATGATGTGACACTTTATTAGCTATTTGTGAATTTATTTATTCTGATTTAGCTAACTAAGGAGGTTTAAACGACTTAATCTTCGACTACTTTCTTAAAAACATTTTTTCCAAAATCTTTGAGCAAGAAACAAAAATCTAGGGGATTAGTTAATCAAACACCCTTTAATTAAATAAAACTAGGGGAAGAATCCATGAACACCAGACAATATGAATCTTGAGAAAGTTTTGCCGGTCGGAAACAAAGCTTTGATAGTATTCTTTGAATTGGAATTTTAGGTGTCAAAATAAAATAGAAAAACGTGACGGAAAAAAGTTACTTTTGAAATTTGAAAGAAAACTCCCATCAATTGCGTGGGTCTGAATCTTATCTCATGAACAAGTGAAGTGGGAAGTAAAATGAGACAACATACATTATTACTAAAAAAAATTAGTGTTTGATAATTATCTAAAAAAAATCAAAATCAAGGTGTTACCTAAAAATTCTCTACTGGCCTCGTACATGCAGAATTTAGATGTGGGCATGCCACTTATTTTGCTAAAAGTAAGAAAGGATGATTTTCCCAACGACCATCTCTTTCCTCATGGTCGATTTCCTTGTGGATGGCGAGAAAAACATTGGATTAAAACTTAAATTTGCACCTACAGATGATTTGCAAGAGGGTGGGATGCCCTCCTGTAGAATAAGTTACGAAATCTGCTTTGAACAACTCCAAGAACTTAAACACTACTGTGAATTAAAGTTATCAAGTCCTAACTAAACTAAAAAACATGCAATTTAAAATAAATTTATGAGAACAAGATATATCCAAATTAAACTAAACATATTTATTGTTAAATTAAAATGTTATCTACTAGTAGATTTGAAAATTAAACTATTGCAGAATTGGAGATTTAACCTTAATTAAAACTAAAATAAACATGAACCGTGATTAAAGTAACATGCTTGAAACTGAGAAGAAGCGTGAACGTCATATAAGTAAACATTTAATAAAACGTTACTTATCATAAACATTAAATTCATTACAGTAAAAAAAAGAACAGTATCTTGAAGAAATTCAAGAACTTGAAGTTCATTACATGAAACGACATTGCTGAAGCAAGTACTCGAACTAGTTTATCTACTAGAATGATGAAAAACAACCTAGATCTATTGGAAATTGTGTTGAAATCTGAAATCTGTAAGCAATTATAGAGAAAATAAAAGTATGAAAATTTGTATGTTTTGAGTAGGTCTGACCGTGAGTTCCCTCTTCCAAAATTTCCTTTTTGTTCTCCTTTTGCCGGCAGTAACCCCTCACTTTCTGCAATTACAAAATTGTGGATGGTTTCTTAAGGTAGTGGGATAGTTCAGCATTTGACCTGATCAGATCTCCTTTCAGATTTTCGCCACCCGTACCCTTATCTGATAACTCCTTTCTATAACTGCAATTTCCTCTTATATTTCAGTTAAAACAATCACTTTTTTACTCAAAGAGATAATTACATGGTAAAATCTTATCTTTATCTATCCTTATTTGCCAATGTGGCGACTGATCTGTCATAAAGCCCAGAATAACAAATCTGACATGGCAAAATCTCCTCCATTCATTAGAAATTTTTAACACATGGCATGATCTTAAATTTTTGCAATTTATGGTGTAAATTGAACTAAGTTGAAATCATATAATTTCATCCAAGTCATACGGCATCTACATAAAAAAACCTTATCTCATTGATAAGAACATATGACTAAACAAATAAAGCACAACTGAAGACTAAAAAACAAGAGTAGATCAAGTTTAACATTATTTAGATATAAAGAAAGACAGTAAATAGATCACATAAATAACCTCTAAGGAAACTAATTTTTACAAATTCCTTTGGTCAAACATTCCAGAAAAACTAGACATCCTTCAATTTACTCTTTAAATAGATAAGCCCACTCTCTAGGACGTTGTAGCTAGAAGATCGGAGCAAGCAGTGACCGACCCCAATTTTCTTTTTTATTGCCCTGTTGGCCACTGTATTTGAACAAAACAAAACAAGAAAACAAGGAACAAAAAAGGGAAAGAAAACAAAGACCACCAAAAGGGGCTATGAAAGAAGCCGATAAATAACTCAAGGTGGTCAACGAACAAGGGAGCACGATTGGTCGGCTTCACCATGCTCAAGAAGCCGGTGGGCTTCTGAGCACCAAAAAGCTCGAGAAGCCAGAGGTTTCCGAGTACAAAAAAGCTAAACTTTGAGAAGCTTCTAATAAAAAACA